CCGACCTCCTTTCAAATTTCGTATTAGCTCGCCTAAATCCGGTCCAGAAGTATTTCTGAAGAAAGATCCTACGTCGACATCTGACGCCGCCCTTAGAGAAATAAGGTTGTAGAACGCGGAGCGCACGGAAAGCTGGGGTCTCAAATGAACTCTATGAAGCGAGGCAGGTTGCTATGTTGCATACGGTGGTCGGAACTATCGGCGATAGAGAAGAATGCAGTGTCTAACTACGCTCGAAAAAAGACCAAAAACTGCGAGAGAACCCAGCTACGCAGATACTTATGTGTCTGCTATCACAGATACGAACTTGGCGCAACCCAGGTGTATTGGAGCTCTTGATCTACTGTCTCGAGCATAGGCAGCACTATCTTCTAGGACCTCTATTTCATACGACTATTAAGTAATGATTTTGTGTACTAGAATCGAGAGTTGATAAGGGAAAATGATGACACGTCCCATCGTGAGAAATTTGCTCAGCACCATTTTAGCTGCACGCCCGTGCGAACTTACAATGGCTTTTAGCGTGGGTATTAGCGGGTGGTACCTGAGAAACGATAGTCGGAAGGAAGGCGAGGCTACTTTTTTTGTAGAGAGAGTGACACTTATGGCCTCCATATCCGCCTACAGCTATGCATTATGTCCGTATAACGGTGTGCTATTGGTGGAAGCCACTCTTAGTGGAACCGTGGAAACATCCTGCGAGCTCTCCGCGGCGTGCGAACGACACTTCCGAAAAGTCCAAAACGCGATTTGACCGAGAGAATTGTTATGAACTCGAGGTTAAGAGCTCAAACAGGTCGGCTTTTTGAAACCGATATATTCAGTCAATTTTAGGCGCCATGAAAATTGTACTACGGCAAACAACCAGAGTTTGACATATCGTTCACAAAACTTTTCCAAAAATTCTCAGCGGACGTCTTCCGTAGAAAAAAAAAAAAAAGAAAAAACCTGCATTCAAAAAAGAAATGCAGGGAAGTAAGTATTAATGGCTCAGGTCAGCTCAATACACCAATGGCAAGCTAAATCTAGCAGTTTTCAATCGCAATGACACACGAAATGCTGAGCAAAATTTTTACGCGTGTTCTCGCAAGACCGTGCTGACTCTCGAAGAGGCCGGCATTATGCACGGCAAACTTGCCTATGTTGTCGCTGATTGTAGCCACCTTTATCGCTGAAAACTTCTCGCTCCGGCACCGTAAAATGTTCGTAGCGAGAAGGGCGATTGAGCACCGCAGCTTTGAACCTCCCCTTTAAGGTCCGCTATTCGACGCACACCTGCCTCTGGCTGTCACCCACAGTCATGTGCGAGACGCACAGAACTTGGTAGACATATCGTAGCACATATGCATTATACATAATCTCTTCACCAATGTTATAATGCATACTTAATAGTAATTCCGATACTTTTGGAGCAGTCTCATCTTCCCGTGGGAGTGAGGAAAGAATCACCTTATCCGACAGTGCGAAAGCAAAAGCTGGTTAATCAGTGAGATTGCCTCGAGAGTTTAGGCTGTACAGGGGAGCGGCGCTATAGGTAACGCAAAGAACGATAAATGAAGGGCCAGTGGATTCTGAGGGGAATTAATGCATAAGCCAACTCAGCAAATCTCAACGCTGCCATCTTTATGCCCACTTAAAAGGAAGCGGTTACGACTGAGGAGATGTTGTATGGTGGGTTTAAGAGCGCAAGTGTAGGCAGTAGGGAGCATCCTTCTTAATGAGCATAAGCACCGAGAAGTAAGCTCGTTTAGACATGGCCAATTCGCAGCCATACCTCCCTCAGATGGCAGCAAGACAGCAGCCAGCAAAAATCTCCGGGTCCCCAAGTAAACACGGAAGATTATATGGACCCCTATTGTGCCGACTCGATGTGATTGCGCTACAGAGAGCAGCAACGAGATTTCGACTGCAATGCTGAACAGAAGGAACCGCGCGCACACCCTGTTCGTAGGTACGGGTAGGATGTGCCGTTCAGAATCTAGGCACAGCGCAGATGCTGGCGGGGGAGCACGAAGGCGAGAGACGAGCGAGGGCCTATGGCTGCCCCCTAGGACCGGCGTGTGGGCGGCTGGCAACGATGCGTTTTCCTAGGTTTTTTCTTCCATGCGCGCTGCAGCGCCAAAGTGGACTCCAAAAGCCTCATCTTCGATGGAGAGATCGATGGGTGGGCTTAGTCGCGTCGCCTGGGCGCGAGCTGAATCCAACTGGGTGGGGCGGCGCATGGGGCCGAAAGGCAATCGTCCTCTCAGCAACCACCGCACTGTTAGCAGTGCAAGCGCCCCACCACTCGTTCCTCTGGCGCGCCATGCTAGTTCTCTGTGGCGCGACGCTAGGTTTCCGGCAGATGGGTCGACACACCACTCTCCCCGCTTTTCGCTACCCCATTCCTTTAAGATAGGGCCCGCAATAGAGGATGGGGTTAAGTAATGGCATCCCCGCCCCTTTCCGTTTTAGCACAATGAATTTTAGTAGTGAACAGTCAACAGTTGAAAGACCTCATCACACTGCGGGAGGATTCTTTCATTTCGTCCTACCGAACTGCTCGCCTGTTGCCCTTTTTTCGCTTCCTTGACTGCTTGCTGGCGCGAATAAGACAGCCTCGCTTCCAGCATCCTGGTACATACTCAGACAAAATCCGCTCCCCAGTGTTTCTTCAGGTAACGATCGAGTTTTCGTGTTAAATAGGCACTAGACAGACCGTAGCATTAAATCAATACATTAACTTTATTCATGACTCAGCAATTTAATTTCATGCTACTATTATCATATTGTAATGCCCTATGTACCAGTAGCCATGCTGACATGAAGAATCCCGTAAAAGGGTATATCTAGGAGTAAGAAACAACGGAAACATAATGGAAGATTTCGAACGACGTAGGAGGTGGGCTAGTGACAGTCTTAGCTTTCAGAGGTACTAAGGCAGTGGAGTGAGAAAGCCATTGACTGGGCCGCCAGATACTACACTTGACTAAAAAGTAGTGAAGAAGAGAAGTCGATTCGTCTGTAATTTGGCAACCTCAGCAGCAAACCAATAGCTTGCCAGCGCCTCGTTAAGGAAAAGCAAGGCAATAAAAAGGGAGTGTAGGGTAGTTAATTCACGTTCGTTGATAATTCACGTTTTGGGAGACTCGCTGACCATGCTAAAGCAATGCATACGTATCAGAGCGCAGATTCAGAACCTGTCGACTCTACGAAAGGGTTTAAATACAAGCCTTCTAATTTGCTCCACACTCTGGCTGTTTTCATAGATCCGGTGATTGTGCTTATCGATAAGCATCCACAACTTTTCTCCACCAAATTTTCGAAGTTCCCAAACATGAGCCACTAGCCCTGCTATTATGAATACCGTTATCTCCTACCATGTTCAGAACAAGTTCTTTACCGAGTAGGAAATAAACTCCTGAACTTCATTTTGAATTGACAATTTTGGGTGAAATTTCATTCGACCGCAAAAGAAACATCTTCAGAACAAAGTGAGGGCCTCAGCTTGTCAGAACACTGCTTTGGGCAGTCCTGAAACCCCCAGAGAATAATCAGCTTCGAAAGCTAGCGTTCAACAAGCCAGCCAGGCTGCCAGAACGTATTCGGTCAGCCGGAAATGTGCCCACTGAGCGGCAAAACGCTACCACCATTTCAAGAATTAGGGTACACCAAAGCTCACTAAATTTATTGGGTTTCTTTAAAAGGGCTTATAGAACATTCAGCAAAATGGAGCAGAAATGTTCAGAGCCTGTGATGCTGATCCATTAGCCCTTTAACGACAATGTCACCCACCGGTGGGTGCCACTACGTTTGCCGCGTGGGACAATGGCACGCAGTGGTAGGCGCCAGCTTGAAATTTCCTTCTTCGCGCATTTGAAACATTTGTAACGCGCAAACAATTATAAGCAAGTTCCACAGTATGGCCTACAGAAAGTATTATTGGGAAATTTATATCGAAATTTAGAATTGGCCATTTAGCTCGACAGCTGCATTGCTGTGTCGAAGATTAATTACTAATCAGGAGTTCTTCGTCTTCTCCTAACCCTCAAATATGGGAAGAGGTTTAAAGTGTATCGAAAATTCTCTTGGGCAGTTGAACTTTTGAAGGTTTTGCCTTCCTTTCCTTTGAAACCCGAGTTCCACTTCCAAATTTGGAACTTTCTTGAAAACAATATACAGTATGAAGGCCTAGAACTACTCCATATCTGGTATACTGCTAATGTAGAAATTTTGATAGGCAAAGTGCTTTGAGGGACAATTTTGCCCAATTGTGAGGAGAGTTGGCGCGCCAAACGTAGGCGTGGTCCCATGAGCGAGCTACGTGCAAATCCGCATTGTCGTCAAAAGGTTAAAGGAATCCTTCCCGGAAGAACCTGTATCCTTTCGCATTACGCATATGTCAGTCATGATCACTAGGTATAACATACAAAGTTCCATGCACAACGATTCAGTTTCCGAAGAAAAACAAACCTACAAAAACCACACTCTATGAACGATCGAAGGTAAGTGGCGCAGAGCCAAAAGCGGGGCATAGAAAGAAGTCCACCTTGGAGCCGTAACATGCGACGCGACGAAGAATCGGGTTGAAGCGTGTGAATTTGGACAGCAGAGATAGACAGACAGAAGATAGAATAGGATACAGTAGAAGCGTGAGATATTAATGCAATAATTCAAAAAGCCAAAAAGGGTTTCCAATAACGGCACTCCAAACAAGTGGAAGCAGTCCCGCCGTCAGCATTTCTAACTGATGTCCGGCAGTACTTTGAACGCTTAGCAGCCCTTTCGATTTTTTGAATTTTCTACCAAAACAAATGCAATGTTCTTTTCGTTCTTATCGTGAACCATGGGTCCTAAGATAGAGAATTATGGGTGGAATAGAATCACGATTTTTCCAAGGAGGATTCCTTTAACTTGCTCAAACACATAAATAGGGACATCAGCTATGGGATTTTCAAAAAACTTAGAACTGTGCGGTAGTTAAAATAAACTAGGTATGAGCGGTGATGCTTCCTACATCTTCAAGGGACGGTCTCAAATTTATAAAAACGAACATAATATGTCGCGTGAAGCGACGATGAGGGCTTTGGCTGTGAGCACGTTATAATAGAAAGCACACTCACCTGTCCAATAATTGAGAATGTCAGGAAGAGATCGGCGAGCAATTTGTTGGAATAAAGCAAGCAACTACCACTCTGAAATGTTACTTTACAATTTGGGTAAGAAACAGTTGTAAGCCATATAAAAATTTCACACCAAGCGAGACTTGACTCAACGTCAAACTACCGATTTATAATTATACTAAGAGGGAAGCTCTGAAAATTGAGTATTCCATTTCAGAGCCGCTGATGACCGTTTCTCCTTGTTTCCGCTAGTTATGCTTTACGTCCAACTTCCACAGCACGCATTACACAAGGAGAGGTTTCACGATGGCTGCGAGTGACGAGTAAAATTCCTAGTCTTGAAAGGGAGAATTAGGTAGCCCCAGAGATGCGGAAACTATTGGCAACTCGTGAAACCAACCAGGAAGTAGGGGGAGGTAAGGATGGTAATTAGGAGGTAATGACTTTGAAGTAAAAAAAGGACACTTGAAAGCGTAGAATCACAAACGGAAGCTGTGAAAATGGAGATGGAAAGATATTCCACTCTAAAACTGTTATACGCCACAACTGCCCATAAAGCAAAAGTTGTGGTTCCATTCCCGTCTACTGCGAGGAGTTTTGCCCATAAGCTACCATTGCTGTGACACTTTCGCATCATGAACTGCGGCAAAAATATAGCCGTTAGTAATAGAGAAACATGCAGCCCAGTGTGTGCGTTTTCCATTAACCAATTCAACAGGAATGCGTTCATAGCATGTATACAAATCTCAAAAAAAAACAACAACTACCTCTGAATCACCGCAGGGTTCCGACTGATAGCGAATACAGCTCACATCAAACATCCAACCGAAGAGAACAGGTGCTGGGATGGTTCCGACGACACGCACGAGAATCCCTTGGATACCCAACGCAAACGAACGTTCGTTGTAGTCCACGGTTCTAAAGAAACATAGCTTGCTAATGGTGGTGTATAGGTAGTCGCGGCGCGGCCGTGACTAGTACACTTATCGAGTGCCAGATTTCACGGGCAGCATGATGGTGAGCGCGAGAACCATTGAAGCAACAATTCCAGATCGAATTCGGGGGAGGGGGGGGGGTAAGGGCGGCCAAAAATGAAACTGCGCATGGCGAGTAGATCGCAAAAAAGAAGCAAGGGAAACCACCGGAGGAACTTTGAACAAGGCTCCCCCTCTTTCTCCTTGGAACAAGAAAGGTGGAGCCGGACGAGCTGTCTGAACTAGCCTGCTTCGCCGGCCTTTATTGTCAGCTCGTGCCAGCAAGAAATGCGACCGCAACCCGAACCAATACAACCAAAGACTTCTGTCCCATACAAACAAAGAAAGACAGTGATAAAACGATTTAAGGACCTAAATTAAATGAAAAGAAAGCGGCATTTATTGAAACGCAGAACAATTTACACGCAATCGCGTCAAGACCAGGCAGCCAATCACGCTATGCGTCATTAGCAAGTGGGCGGAGAAATGGAACAGATAGAAATCACGCATCTTTTTGCCCCATTAGTCGCAGAAGTATGTATTGAGCCGGAACTGTTGCATTGAAAGTAACATGCGCTAACATGCGCTGAGGGTGAAGGAGAGCATAAGAGGTTAACACTGTTACTACACTTCTACTTTGTCGTGTCTGATTCTACGCTGGTTCCCACGCTGAGCAAATGTCTTGAATCAACTGCTGCCACAAATAAGCACGAAGTGACTTAACGATAAACATTCGCTACTTACTCACAAACCCACTTGAGATGGTGTGCACCTTTCGTTAGTGGAAACCTTTCACACCTGGTGCAATGTGACGAGCGAGGTGTGAAAGGTCGCTACTAGCAAAACCTCTATCCATAGGGTAAAGTGGTGTGACACCATTGAGATAATAGCTGAATGAAAAAAAAACAATCACCTTAGGATCACCGATATAATCGGAACGGCGACAGCGAACGTACAAAGAGACAACGGGGCGAACATAATAAGAAATCCTAATAGTCCTTTACATTTCGATTCACACAGTCCTTTCTTTACGTGTTTGACTCGAAGACGTGCAGTCTCCACCACACAGGAACAATTTGAGTAAACCTAGAAATGACTTCATTTGAATTTTAATCCAGCGTTTCATGTAACCCACCTTCTGTAAAGGTGTGTAGGGCTCGGAACATCCAGCAAAGCACGGTGAGTAGTACGAAAGTTGCCGTCCATCAACAAATTCAGCACAAACCGGGCGAAATTCGGCTTCACTACACATGCAGTGCGAATTACATGGGCTGCGTAACGTTGGTTCAACATCCGAGTAATTTCCAACAGAAATTTGACCATCGCTGCAAATTATTAAAATATTAAAAATGGTATTCGTCATAGAGTCATAGACAAGACAAGTAAAGAAATCTATGAATCTAGGAAATGAGACATGAAAGATGAGATAATAGAAAAATAAGAGGAAACTAGCCACGAAGGTTAGCAGTCTAACAAAAAGCAGAATTCAAAAAGGAACAAATTGTGCGAGGAGGACAATAACAAAGCCCACACTGACCGATCTGGGTATGTAGTTTCGACACCGACAAGAGGATCATGTGGGCAATATATGAGATACATTGGAGTGAGTACCAACGAAACAAACAACAGTCCAACAGCGAGCTTCAATGTTGTCACACAATTCAACCGGAAGTACTGAACTATGAAGCCGGAAATCATGCAACCAATTCCAGCCATAGGCACCATAACACATCCTGAACATTTATTTCCATTTGCAAAGAGGCTGTCATTCAGAAGGGACGTAAAAATGCAGATCAAATACTTTTTTAGGTCATAAAGATAATCTAAAATACTTCCTAGCCGTCACTCACCTATTAACAGACTCGACCTGCTTGGCGGTACATTGAACTGTCTCTCTAAGTACTTTGACATAAACGACGATGCACCAGTGACAACAAGACCTAATACGAGGTAATTTAGAAAACAAAATGAACCACTGACGACTGAAAAATGATGAACTGACTGTCTATTGCCATTGCGAGCGTAATCAGCATAAATGGAGCATTGGTGAGAATCCGGTAAATTGCTATGGGAATATGCCTCACATCCAACCACAATTTGTACCATAACGGTCCTCTACCACGAGTCGTAATCGAAGTATACAACAATGAAGACTCCTCTTAAGAACAAAAGTAACTTGTTAGAATACAAAAACGTCTTTAGTTACTGTAACTACCTGGTAAAGGAGCATCACGATAGAGCGCTGCAGTTTTGTTCGTGCCAGCCAGCCCACAACACTCAGGTGTACGCCGTCGTCCTGCTTGTGAGTTTCTACCAAACGATTTCTGAAGGTAATATGATAGCGGCGTTTTTGGAAGAGGTCTTATTGCGACCAACCTATGCCACTTCAGGGATTCAGGTAAGACTTTTGGAAGACAAATTATTGGAACCACAGCAAGCATAGCAATGAGAGAAGCTAGAACGAATCCAATCCACCACGCTCCCACCCACGATGGGTCAGTCTCATCTCCACTTACTCTGAAAACAGCAACTCTGAACAAATACAGAACTCAAAATTTTTGAGAAAAGCCAGCTTTCGCTCTTGGACGTGTGGAAATAATAAAATGCCACCGCAGAACCACCTACAAACAACTAGGTTCTTCTCGCAACACTATTCTTTTAGGAAGGTAGACCCAAATTCGTCGCTCTGGAAGTGCTGTATCGACATCTTACCGGTTTATAAGATGTAAGCTGAATTCGATTACCCAAGTATTCATCGCATTCGCGCCCTTCACACCTGTCGCTAACCCTTATTTGGCACTCATCCTGGTGCGAATTTAAATAGTCAGTACTCCTAGAGTTCCTTAACCGAAAAAAGTAGTGCATTTTGCTACACTACTCCCAAGCCATTTGAAACTAATACAAACAAATATCTTCGAGCTTATGCAAAAAGACGTTTGTGCGCGAACAAACTCCACGCTTGCCCTCCAGTGATCCTCATCCCATAGACCACAATTTGCTTCGCAAAATCCATCATCAAACGCTGTGTAGTACAAAAACGACTTGAAAAAAGACGTAAAAACAAGCTCTAATTGTAATTCTCGCTCTAAGCTTATGGTACGAAATTGAGATTCGTATAAGCTGCTCCTACTACGGCACCAAAATCCCCCTCTCTCTTAAGATACGGCGACTCCCCTTCATTCAAGCGGTCCAAAAAATCCAAGAGGCTTCGGTTGAAATCTCAAATAATATCCTCAGTGGAAAAAGAGTACGATACCACAGGCTCATATTCAGGTCTAAAAATTTGCTCTTGTTGGTACTCAGCATGAACGAATGGAAGTGCTTCTATGCAAATGTATCCCTTTCCTGCGATGGCGTTTTAAAATACTGTTCATGTATGACAAGGAAAACTATATCAGAGAACTTTTACACTCCACCAGGTTTGAATCTAATGATGTTCCGGAAAAAAGTAATAGGAAGGTTTCCACACCTCCAGATTTTTTTTCATTCAACAACGCAGAAATGGCTTCGAAGAGAAAAGAATACAGAGTCCATAAACCTACCGCGAAATTTGCTCAGCAGGAAGATGCCAGAAATCCGTATGGTATGTTAGAAATGTACCCGCAGTCAGAAATCCCGCAGCTGGACCGAATACGGCGAAAGAGTAATAAATGCCTACAAGTAACAATGAATTAGCAAATAGGTAACACATGCAAGACAAGATAGTGAAAATACTCACCCACAAACAAAGACGAAAGCGCCTTGCCAACATTCTCATCTATATACGAGACTCCAATGGTGAACAAAGGTGTAGCACCGATGCCATGCAAGAAATGAGCCAAACAGAATAGGAACAAAAATCGAAACGTGCCCGGCTGGAATGACAAAGATCGTGCGATAAAAGTATACATGGACGGAAGAAAGAAATCCATGTCACTACTATATGTGTATTAAATATATATCAATAGGACTGTGGCCATAATTTATTTCATTCTATTTATTTATTTATGATGGCACTCAAGGTGCGCCGTCGGTAAACATAACCGTTCAGTTAACAGGGAATAAAACCAAAAGGAAAAAACGAGACGTGCCAGCCAAAAATGCAAGAAGTGTACACATCAAGGAGTCGAAACAATAATCACTCCGGCACCGTGTCAACTAGCGCCCACCCTGCGCGCTATCCACTAGGCCATTAGCTCCATATACTTCCACCTTCAAAATCATTTGTCAACCCACGACACCTCCTTCAGCACGAGCTTGGAAAAACTGACCATTTTGCCTGAACTACGCGTTGCTTTTTTGATATTCAGGGAGCAATAGAAAAAATGAACCACAGATGTGGTCTCTGCATGCCTCCATATCATGCAGAAAACCGTTCTTAAAAAGCTTCGCACGCCCCCTGAAAGGCCTTCCTGGTCAGCAGCATAGTTCAAACTGAGCATGCGGGGGAACTGTTCACAAATACGGCGTTAAGGTGATGATAAGGATGGTCATCAGGTAGGTGCCAGACTTCATGATTGCAATCGCGTTCGCAGTCGATTGGACCGGCGTGCTATATTACGAACCACACGATTCAATTACCTACTACCCGCCCCACTCGAGATTCTGACAACGCGCCTGAATCGCGCCCTGTCCCACTCGCGGCGACCGCGATTACAATCGTTTGATGCGACACTTACCTCAGCCATAACCCCCGTTTTTTTCATATGCGTAGGACATGTCTAGAATGTTGAGAAGGGTCAGGGGTGTCAGATGAGGAGGTGGTGAGGCTAATAAATACAATGTATCTCGAAAGCATGGGTTCAACCCTCAAATCTCTTGAAGAAATGAACAATACGCTCCAAACTTCTACCACCAATGTCTTATTTGAGCCATTTTGATACAACTTGAGTAGACCTAGAGTTGAAAAATTACAGATAGTCATCTGATTTCTCTGAGCATAGCGTCCCAGAAGTATAGGTTCACTTAGTTCCTGTGCCTTGCGTTTCCACTGAGATAGGATGAAATAATTTACTAGGTTGAGCAAAAAATATCCGCCGTTTTTTTTTCAGGCTCATGACTTTTTGATTTCATGCTAATTTTTTCGAAGATGTGATGTAGTCTGAACGCACAATCTCTGCCCATTTTGATGTACAGCACTTGTGTACTTGCTTCAATCTGGAGCACACGCGAGCAAGAAAACGATTGCTCATGCTACATGAGTGCAAGTTGAGCTCGAAACCGAACGCCTGTGCACCTGCTCGTAGAATCGATGAAGCCTGGGACAAAGGCACGGTTGCAGAGAAGACTCTTCGACAGCGTGGGTTGATTACTACTTTATGTTGCTTTTGTCTGATTTTGTTAATAAACTTATGAGTTGAACGAAAACGGCGGATAATTTTTGCTCAACTTAATATTATTGCTTTTCCTTCCCCATATGTTCTGCAGTGCTATGCTGGACAGAAAACAATTATCGGAGCAAAAAAAAAAGATAAATCACGGCTCAAAAGCATGTACAAGCAGTAGGCGCAGAATCTCGAGATCAGCATGCAATCTTTTAGCTTGATCAGAAACTTCAACCACAATGTAGAGTCCTACGGCACGAAATGAGATCAGAATATTGGGAGGGGAGTGTGTTTTCTGAGAGTTGGAGCGACAAATTCGTAACCCGCGTCAAACTCTATAAAATGTCATCTAAAGCTCTATCCTACAGACCAAGGGGGATCGTTCGCCCAAGTTACGCCTGGGCACTGCCCTCAAGCCACAGGCCGGAATTATGTGCCGAGAGGTGGTTTTTCCTAGAGTGAGGAAGATGGGTACCCAAGCAAAAGAGCTGCGACACAAAAGTGAGCGGCAAAAGGGCTAAGGTCTTGTCTTGTGAGCTGCCTCCGCTGCCAGTCTACTCTCGTAGCATACGTGGCGTTTATGCCCTCTCGCGTACGACGTACTCTTTCGTGTTTCTCTCTTTTCCTAGAACTGTGTCGCTCCTTCATACCAAAGCCGACCTCACAAGAAAACTCTAGTGGCTTTCACAGTGCATTTTATTTTTCTCCCCACTCACGTTCCTCATCGCAATTTCTGTGTCATTTTTGAACGAAATAACACAACAGTGCGGTACCAACCCGCAGTACTTTCCGAGTTCCACAGTCATGGTCGGAACGAGTCCAAATAAAAGCCGAAACGAAGATTGCTTTAATGCGGAAAAGCCTTAGAGGTTAAAACTGCTATGCATTTTCGACCGACAAAAGTTAGGCTTGGAAAAGCGGAAATTGGTACACGAACTCCAAAAGTCTTGTGCATGTACTCTGAAAAGAAATTCTACCGCTTGTCTATAGCTGGCACATGCAAACTGTCATGGCAGTCACGTCATATGTGAAATTTGCAAAAAACTAGGCTATGAAAAAGAAAGATGCCTGAAGTTGATAACGCAGTCGCCGACGTTTTGGCGGCCAAATTCTTCCCTTAGAATCTCAGAAATATGTAGAGTCATCCTTATAGTGAATGCATAGTGACTTGCTTGAAAGTGTCCAGAACAATTTCACCAGGAAGCTCTTTATGCGATATTGTGGGGTCGGCTACAAGGTTATTTCAAATGACGCCAGCAGAGGGGATCAAGAGGTCTCAAAGGCAAAGTTCGGGATCACACCCACTTGATGAGACTTTACTGTGGCTAGAACGCTACGTACGCAAGTGCAGAGGTCGCGCTGCCCCTAGGTCGAAAAGCGTTACATAGACGCTAGGCGCTAAGGACTTTGGTAGACTCCACCAGTACTGTCATGCTCCGCCCACCGCTAACATCTTGCCTGCGTCGCAATGTTGAATGCCATGCTCTCTCTTCTCAGACTTCTCTAACGTCTCCGCGCTCGTATTATCTCTCATCTTCCTGTCCGCCTTTTGAAGTTCTCTGCAGCGTAGAGCAAAGCGCTCGTACTTCGCGTATTTCACGATGTTTTTCTTTTTTTCTCCACTGGCGGTCCACTTCCCATCATTACATTCCCATTTGAGTGAAATTACCTCATCAACTTAATTCTGAAGCTTGCCTTTAAAATCTTCCAGGTGTGTTATCAATAAGTTGCTTATGGCATTTAAGATATTGACCCGTAGAGTGAATTTGTGCTCTTCAAACTTCTTCGAGGTTGTTAGAGCAATCACTGGGAGAGGTAGTGTCAACCTCCAGATTCCGGTTTCTAAAACTCAGGTCAGGTTTAACCGATTGCGGGCCGCGTGCTGCACCGTGTGGAGCACGCCGTCATACAGAAAAGAAAAATTATATTTGATAATTATTTTTGATTGAGTTACAAAGTTATCATTGAGTGTTTCCGTACACAAAAATGCCATATATTTATACGCTGATAGTTATAGATAATACTGATAAAATAGATATTGAGCTTTTTTGTTTGGGTAACCCTCTTCCTCACTCTAGGAAAAACCACCTCTTGGCACGTAATTCCGGCCCGTGGCTTTCAGTGCACTGCCCAGGCCGAAGTTGGGCGAATGATCCCTCTTGGTCTGTAGGATAGAGCTTTAGATGACATGACGTGGGTTACAGATTCGTCTCTCCAACTCTCAGAAAGCACACTCCCTTCCCAATATTCTGATCTCATTTCGTGCAGTAGGACTCTATATCATGGCAGAAGTTTCTGATCAAGTTAAAAGATTGCATGAGATTCTGCGCCTACTGCTTTTACATGCTTTTGAGCCCTGATTTATCTTTTTTGCGCTTTCTGTCCGGTACTCGCCTCGAAACGCTGAGCTCAAAACTGTTTCCCTATCTGCTAAACGACTCTTTGAACGAAGTTATAAAGCGGGTGCCCCGGTCTCGCAGCAAGACATCGTGGGAAACGGTTCCTTGAAGAAGCTATCTTCTAGCCTTTCCTAACAAAGTGGCCGCAACTTCTTACTTCTTGAATTTATCGACACTCATCAGTTGCAAATTTACGAGCAGTTCCTTCCACGTTCGGACGCTATTTGTCCATGCCTGCCTATGGTGTCCGTAGTACTAGTGGCAGGCTTTTTTGCGGCAAACAGAGAGATATTCGTGTTCAGGGGTTCAAACTACTCCTAGGAACAAGTTCACAGCGAAATCTGAGATTTTGACAAAACTTAGAAAAATTGGGTGAACCGGTCACCATCAACCATTACATCATCAACTATCGTCGAACTCTTGGTATGGAAACCAATCGTTCCACCAAGATTCTGAGAAGAAAAACGCCAAACTGGCTCACTTTTCCGCATAATAGGAATGACTTACACGAACTTGCGGATGCACCTCCCCGGATAAATCTGTATCCGGCATCCAGACTCATCCGGGGAGGTGCATCCGCAAGTTCGTTTTTGACTCACACCAGCTTGCGCCTGGCTGATTTTGCTGAACTAAACCCTCTCAAAGTTACCTTTTCCCCCTTTCGAAATTGAGCCAAAATCTCGAATTTGGCTAGAAGCCTGCCTCCCCAGTATTTTAACCCTCTGCTCACGAATATCACAATCGTTTGCCGCAAAAACGTGATGAGCTGTGAGCGTCGTGTACATCGTCGGCCAATAGTGGTAAACCTGCGACCAGGTACTCGCAAACCCTTTACCCGGGCAAATAGAGGCAGACATTGATGAATAAAATGTCGCTAAGAACCTTGTTAGTCATGTAGTCGAAAAAGCAGAACATCCGGAACCACGAGGAAGCGGTCCCATGACCTCTCCTCCACCAGTCTGGAGCGCTACCACCTCCACAATTGGCATTGAATCTGCCAATTCCTCGCATTGTTGATACGGGCTGGTGCAAACGCATGGGTGTACCTTATTGCAAGTGGCGGGACCGACCTCGTGACCTTTCCTGATAAGAAATTAAGTTTTTGCCGAAATATAAACTAATAAACTGAGAAGTTGTGTCAATTTCCAAAGCTTCCTTGTTTCTTAGTTTTTGGTCGAAAGGTTCCAA